AAGTATTTCATTTTTATGGGTACCGGCACATGTTGGGATAGAGGGAAATGAGGAAGCTGATCAAATGGCCAAGAAGGCATTAAAACAAACCGATATAGATATAAATATATCACTTAGTAAAGCAGAAATGAAAGGAATAATCAGAGGGGCTGATTAGGAAACGGCAAAAGATGTGGGATGGGGAGGTAAAGAATCTATACAACATTCAAAAACAAGTTGGAAATGGAAGGAAAAACTTTGGAAGTAGGAAGGAGGACACAATAATATCTAGACTCCGTATTGGTCACACAGCTCTTAATCAATCATTATTTATTATTGGTAAACATGAATCAGGTAATTGCAATAATTGTGGTATACCAGAGACTGTGGAACATATCCTATTACATTGTGAAGCATATGAAAGAGAAAGAATGCGATTAATAGAAGAATTAAGTTTGTTGAATATTGAAAGAATTACAATTAAGACAATACTTGAGTATGCTTCAGCACAGTATAAAGTCTATAATGCAATTATTAATTATTTGAAAGCAATAGGTTTAATAAATAGAATTTGAAGATCACATAATGAAGTATATAAAATAAGTGTATCCTTGTGTAATGCTCCTTTGGTCAAACTAAAGGTTATTTGAATTTTTTTTTATTTAATTTTTTTTATATGCTGTCACCAATATTCGTCATGCTCCACACTCCAGTCCAGTAGGTGGCGGAAATGCACCTTTCAAGTGGGTTTGCCAACCGCCATTAAAAAGAAAAGAAGAAGAAGAACTGAACTTGAGCGAAACATGGCGGCCTCCGTTAGGACACTTGCCCTTAGAGCGCTCTCCGATTCTACGCGAAATATTCAACATGTTTCAAGGTGTCGAATCAAGCATTTATGCTGCCGTGCTGGAATCACAGGGCGTCGCGGATATAGCGATAGCACAGAGGGCAGAAGTACGCACTTTGGTTTCCAAACAGTCCCAGAGGAGGAGAAAGCAGAGAAAGGTGAGTTAACTTACATGCATTAGTTTATCGGGTGTATAAATTTAGTCATTGATCTGGTGTGCTAGAGTCTTTTCCACTAGCCAGTACATTTCCGTTTACCCCGCTGTTCTCCGACTGTCAGTGTATAAGGTGTTTGAAAATGTGGCCAAGAAGTATGATGTGATGAACGACGCCATGAGTTTGGGAATACACAGACTGTGGAAAGACACACTGCTGCACACTATGAACCCGCAGCCGGGACTACGACTGCTGGACACGGCTGGTGGCACTGGTAAATCACACCCACATGAATTTGTTTCTTAATTGGAAAAGATTTGAGGAAATTTTGCATTGCTCGCCAGTGGATCCTTTTGCAGTGAATTCAGTCCAAACAGCTTGATTAAAAAACATCACAAGTAGTTAATCCACATGACTCCAGTCCATTAATTAACATCTTGTGAAAAGCATTTTTTTAAAGAAACAAATCAATCATTAAGGCATTTTTGAACGTTAAACCATTGCTTCTGGCTAAAATACCAGTCCATAACCAATAATAACACTTCCTGCAGTGGAAAAAACTCATCCCCTGTTGTCCTCTAACATTAAAATCCACTGACATATTTGTTTACAACTGTTTTCACTTGTAAAGTCAGAAAGAGCTTTGCTTGCACACACAAGGAATTTGTCATGTATTGCACATGTATTATTGCACAGTGGGGAGAGCATTTAACTAATGTAAACCGTGCATGATCTGTGCGTATTACTCTCTTGATTCAGACAAGACTTTCACATGGAGGAATCAATATTATGGATAGAGGACTATGTAGTTAAAAACCTCTTAATGATTATTATAATAATTTTTTTTAAACATGCAGCTTTTCACTTCACAAGACGTTAATTACTTGTGGATTATTGTGATGTTTTTATCAGCTGTTTGGATTCTCATTCTGACGGCACCCATTCACTGCAAAGGATCCATTGGTGAGCAAGTGATGTGATGCTCATTTTTTCCAAATCTGTTCGAATGAAGAAACAAACTCATCCGCATCTTGGACAAAATGTCATTTATTCTCTTCAATTAAGTTCAAGTGTTGTTCTCATCCAGTAGTGTCAGTGCAGTCAAACTGATAATCTTACGCATGTATCCTAGATCAAGGGGCCGCAAAAGGGTCTGTTAGAAAAGTCGAGGATCATATTTGGCTTCCGTTTCATCTAAAAGTTTGAAAACCCTTGCCCTAGATATTTGGGTAAATTCAAGACTGTGTTATTCTGCTCTAGGTGACATCTCTTTTCGCTTCTTGGAGTACACGCGCTCGATGTATGATCGTCAGCAGAGATTGAGAGCAAAATCCCATCAGACACCATCGTGGCAGGACATCGCTGATCATTACGTGTCAGACAAAGCAGGGCCTCCACAATCTCACGCGGTGGTGTGTGACATCAACAAAGAAATGCTCAAAGTTGGTAAACAGAGGGCGGAGAAAGCAGGAATCACTACAGGTAGAGTCATCTTTAACCGAAAACGTTCATGTTTTGGAGTGAAAATATAATGTTGATTTCATTGTCACATATTTGCAGGTCTTTCATGGGTCGTGGGCGATGCAGAAGAGCTCCCGTTCGATGACGATCAGTTCGACATATACACTATTGCATTCGGCATCAGAAATGTCACCCACATAGAGCAAGTAAAGACTCTGCACTCCACATCAGTTTGCATGAATACAGGTTAAAACTAGACTAAAACATCACTCAACTAAAAGCCATTTCTCTCCTAACCCAAACTTACAAATGTAGCCCATATTGCTCTGCTGCTCACAATCTACATGTCTCTCTAATCTAAAATGTTACCATATTTCATGTTGTGTTATCATTTTTCATTAACATATTTGTAGAGTGAAGTGTTTGAAGTCTTTGATCAATCTGTCACTGTAGTTGTTTGACATGATGAATGTTTTGGCAGGCTCTACAAGAGGCTTTGCGTGTCCTTAAGCCAGGTGGACGGTTCATGTGTCTAGAATTCAGCAAAGTGACCAACCCTCTTCTTACAAGGTTATTTACTACAGATTCTATTATAGTTTTTATTAATATTTGAAATTTTTACAGTTTCAGTTTTCATTTTATTAACTTTGTTTTTGCCATTTTTATTTGGCTTTTTTAATACATATTTAGTTATTTTAGTACTTTAAACTACATGTACATGAGAAATGTTGCCTTGGAAGGTTTTTTAAATATATTTTCAGTTAACCTTCTGTATAATCATCAATTAAGATTCATTTTATAAAAAAAAAAAGATATATAGGTTTTTAATGGATTTAGTTGATTATAATAATAATTTTTTACTGTCCCTTAACACTGTTGTCTTGTTCACTGCATGGAGGTGATTTGTAAAACGCTTTTTTTTTTGTTTTTGTAAACACTTATGTATGCATTGTGTAAGTGTTATACCAAAAGTTTTGTCGCCATCGCTGTTTGAAAACCTGGAATTGCAGCTGTGTGCGGAATTATCTATCTTGCGTGGGTTGTGAGTCGGCACGTCTACAGCGTGGGAGGAAGCCACACCCTATTTTGGAGCTCCCACCCCATTTTGGAGTTCCCGCCCCCATTTGGAGATCTCCGGGCTGCAGTTATACCCTTCTCGAGGATCCTGCAGGTGGCTGATCGTTTATAGCAGGGGTGGCGAAATCCAGTACTGGAGAGCCGCAGCCCTGCAGAGTTCAGCTCCAACCCTAATGAAAACTCACCTGCCTGTAGCTTCCTAGTAACTGTTCAGACCTTGATTAGCTTGTTCAGGTGTGTTTGATTAGGGTTGAAGCAAAACTCTGCAGGACCGACGTTCGCCACCCCTGGTTTATAGCCTTTTCTCACAGCAGCCAAAATAATTAAATGTATAATTTTGATGGCGGATTGTAATCCATAGAGGATTATGTGTTGATGAAACACATGTGAATGAAATTAAATTATATTCCAGCTATAAATGTGCTTCTGATTACAGATAGCCTGGGATTGCAAAGATTTGTATTTGAAAGAAAACCAGTTCTAGGGAGCATAATTTGCTTTTTGGGTTAAAAGAATTTCTTATTATGAAATTCGAAGAGTATGATAATTAGATTAGACTGTGCAGAAATGGAAATCTACACGCTAATACACACTATACTCAGTCACCAATGCTGATGTTGTTAACATTAATCATTTGAGAATAAAGTATAACAATAATAATAATTTGAACGGTTTGATGTGATATGAGCTAACTGATCTTTAGATTTAAATCACCATTGGTAGCGAGATTTATGGTAATGCTTTTTTCCTCAGTTGGTCAGAACAAACGTGGCTTGTTACTTGTTCAGATGGCAATATACGGTGAAAATTCTTATTTGGGTCATATTCCAAGACGTAGGCTAGAATCTGTGATTGTGAAGTACAGCAAATATCCACACCGGTGCGGTGACTGACTGCCACACATACTCTTCAGAACATTAGATTCATCCGCGCTGTAGACGTGCCGACTCACAACCCACGCAAGATAGATAATTCCGCACACAGGTGCAATTCCAGGTTTTCAAACGGAGATGGCGACAAAGTGGCAACTTGCGGACGGCAGCTTTAAAATACAAATCTTTGTAATCCCAGGCTATCTGTAATCAGAAGCACATTTATAACTGGAATATAATTTAATTGAATTCACATGTTTCATAAACATAATCCTTTATGGATTACAATCCGCCATCAAAATGATACATTTAATTACTCTGGCTGCTGTGAAAAAAGGCTATAAACGATCGGCCAACTAGTAGCCGGAACAACTTCATGTTTACAGACGTGACGTAATGACCCAGTGCCATGCTCGAATTTCCCGTGAAAACCTACCCGTACCACTCAAATTAGAATAATCCGTTTTTGGTCAGAATATTTAATCGTCTTGTGTGCAATTACCATGTATTTACAAAGTATCTTGGTGATCTCAAAAAAAAAAACAGACACTCTGAACATAAGACATGGCTTAAAGATAAATATATTAGTCAATAAATATTCAGAGAACATATTTCCATTTATGAAATGTGCTGCTATACAGATACAGAAATATACACAGATCAAGCTCTAACCTTTAACATTTGTAAAATGATAATGGAGAAAATAATTATATCTTTTAAAAAATTAAAAAATAATTTTTGTACACATTTTCTTTTATACAATCTTAAGTGCTACAAACAATATGAAATATTAAATAGTGACTCAAGTACCCAGAAAACAAAAATGCTATATTTGCAGTACATATCTCTATGCAAGGCAAGAGTAGATTTTTATGTTATGGCACTGTTTTAGTCTATGTATAAATAAAGTTATTTTAAAATGACCGCCTGTGTAAGCTGTATGGGTACATTTCATAGAAACAGTATAAAATACTCTGTAAAAACAGAAAGGCATGATATGATGACGTGTAAAAGCATGAGTGCAACATGTAAGGTAATTATGCGGTTTTTGATATATATACACCACTGCATTCCAATCTCTTTAAACCATTATACTTTGGCGTCCTTGACAAAATGTTAGCTTTAATAAAATTATTATTTTTTTAATTATTAGGGGTCAAATACTAGACATCCTACGCCTCTAACCCTAAAGTAGTCCGGTTCTTATTCTACCAGTGGTGTTCTGACTGTACCCTGGAGACAAACTAAACTTTGGTGTGATATATACGTAGCTCATTAGTCTCCATTGATAAAGTATATATATATATATAAAAGTAGCTTTTTTTTATTGGTCTGTTTCTGTACAAAAAAAAGAAAAAGGCCCTGAGAATGGAGGAGAAAGAGGGAGGTGTACATATTCCTAGTTAAGTTTTCAGAGAAGTTACCTCGGCACCTGATGTGCACTCCCTCAACATGCAGTGTTCCATTTTGGTTTTTATTGCTCTAAATGTAATCATTTAGTTGACATATATACGTACATGCTGTATGACTTCTTACTGCTCACAGGCATGCAATTCTGAATGAAATACGTGTAAAAAGAGCATTCAAATCACCTTAGCTGATAACATGGAACTCGGGCATAATCTTAATTGTCATAAAATCATTAAAGTTAGTCATATACATGTAGAGACATTTTCCCTGGTCCTAGTACAATCAGGAAAGAAGCATATCTGTTTGTGTTGCATGAGGAAGTATGTGAAATTCAAAATATAGCTTTGTACTTTCGCCTATAACCATTGTGTTGATGTGACAGATTCTGAAGGCCACAGGAATGAACAAGATCAACACTGCGGAGAAAAAAAAAAAAAAAAGTACATTTGTAAAATCTTAATTTGAAACTAACTCTTTCTGCTAAGTACACTTTTAACAACAAAACTGTTAAAAAGTTTAACATTTATTGATTTTCAAGAGCTTGTGCTGTGTTAGGGCTTCCCATCAGAGCCCCGATCCATCAAATGATGCTTTGCCACCCCCTTGTGTTTCAGATACGCCGCTACACTGCGAGGGAAACAGTGCTCTCGTCTCTTCATCCTGAGGCTGCTGATAAACTTGACCTCTATATTGTCCTGAGGTGAAAAACAAGTCACAAGTCTCCTCAGAAGTTCTCTCCTCCCTCTCTACGGTAAGTCTAGGAGGGAGCAAACTAGTTTGTGGTTCTGGACCCAAGCTTAATTCACAGTCTGTATCCTCAGGAATTATGGGTATCCGCTGCGCTAGCTCACAGCAACCCTGTCCCATGCAGCCGTCACTGTCTGTCTGGGCATACTGTACGTTAACTGAACAATCTTCAGCGTAATGACTAGCACTTCCTTGGTGTACAGTCATCTCTGTGTAGAAGCAGCATGGCAGTCCATCATAGCTAACATGATCTGGAGACTGTAGCTGCTCGGAGCTAACACTATAAAAGTTCTGTGGGGAAGCGACCGCTTGAGATTCTGTGGCCCACCTGCAGTGTCCCCGGTCATCTCCTTCCTTACCTTTACGTTCTAAGTTTAATTTGGGTACCTCGAAACAGCAGTTACAAGCTTCCCCTTGCTCTCCACAAGGCTTCACAGAGCTGTGGCTCCTTTCTGCCACAGTGCCCTCTAGGGGCCCAGCTGAGTTAGTGCTAGTAAGTTCCCTGGTTTCCACCGAAGAGTGGCTACTACAGTTGGGCTCCAGGCTGCAGTTAGACAACTGGTCCCCAGAACTGTAACACGCTCCAACCGGCGGTTGTAGGCAGTCCATCATCCCTGATACTGGGGCTGAAGTGTCGTCAACTTGAGGGGTGGCGGCAAACACCGTCCCAGCCTCCCCGGCCGATCCCCGACAAGGACTCTTACTGCGGTATACATAGGGATCGTAATCACTGCTTAGTGAACTCCGGAATGTTGAGCAGCTCCCATATACTCCCTGGTTGCTGACTTCTGTACAATCCAACATGGAGTCACTTGAGGAGCAGTGGCACTGACCCGAGCTGCTGCTGCTGTCACTTCCAGGACAGTCCGCAAGGTAACCACTACACATGGATCGGTGCCCGTGGTAACAACTAAGTCCCGAGGTGCTTCCGGAGTCACCCAGGCGGGAAGAGGAAGCTGGTGCCATGTGCACCACAGTAGGATACAAAAGTCCTGGCTGGAAGGGTCGATTGTGACCTTTGTGGAGTCCATTACCTTGCTGACCTTCAGGTTGCGGAAAGGTCAAGCCCTGAAAATAGTAGTGCTGGTACATGGTCTCGTATTGAGAAAAGCAGGCAGCACGAGAAAAATTGCGTCCATGGAATTTGGGCCGTTTGAAAGTATGGGTTTGTGGGTAAGCAGGGGCACGATGCTCCAGGCCACAATGGTGTGGGTTTAGCGTGTGTTCCAAGTGGAGGGCAGGGTAACCCCGAATAAAGGAAGATTGTGAAGGATAGAGGCCCTGCTCTGGGTGTTGGTCCACTGTTAGAACAGTGATGGGGTTGCCATGAGGGTCCATGCTGGTCTGTGTAGGGTAGGCCGTCACTTGCCCAGCTCTGTGCACCCTTCCAGGATAATGAACAGGGAGGACGACTCTCTGCTGGCGGCTGTGGACTGGGTTTCCTGGATCAAGACAAACAGCGCCTGGGTTTCCCTTTTTTTGTTCTGGGTAGAAAATAATAAAGCACAGGTTTAGAAATGAACTGATTCAAGACCATAAATTCGGACATATTTGACAGCAGAGTCAGCATCTTATGCTCACCAATAATGTTGTGCCTGCAGTGTGGACAAGTGTGGTGCTGAAGTAGCCAAGGGTCCACACATTTCTTGTGGAATCGGTGTGCACAAGGGATCACTCTCAACTCCTGTAAAAGGGAAAGATTGAGAGATCAACAGATCTGTTTTAACATTTTTGTGGGCCTTACAAATACTGCTGTGACATTTTGAAGCATTCTGGGATACAATGTTTGCAGGCCCCCCAAATTCAGATACCCATAGGTATCCATTTTTTTCAAGTAACTGACAATTTATATCAGGGGCGTCTAATTCTGATCCTAGAGGGCCAATTTCTCTCCAACCTGCTCCAACACAGCCTGGAAGTTTTTAGTACCCTGAAAGACCTTGATTAGCTAGTTAAGGTGTGTTTAATTAAGGTTGGAACTAAATTTTAAAGGAAGGTTTACAAATCCTCCAGGAGCACGATTTGACTTCAAGTAACTGACAATTTATATCAGGGGCGTCTAATTCTGATCCTAGAGGGCCAATTTCTCTCCAACCTGCTCCAACACAGCCTGGAAGTTTTTAGTACCCTGAAAGACCTTGATTAGCTAGTTAAGGTGTGTTTAATTAAGGTTGGAACTAAATTTTACAGGAAGGTTTACAAATCCTCCAGGAGCACGATTTGACGCCACTTAAAGGTGCAGTAGGAGATCTTGGAAAATTCTAACTTTAGCCTGATAGCACTGAAAGCGAACGTCGCACCCTCCCTGCAATCGCCGTCCAAAGCCACGCCCCCTGAACGCATATACACTCACAGACCAGAATACCAGAGACAACATTACAATAGGCTACATCAGCGGTTCCCTATTCCAGCCCATGTTTCGAAGTGAAGTAAACCTCAACGGATTTCCCCTGCTCAGGGAGTAGGGAGCAATGAACACTGTGTAGGGATCATATTGATCGGAACACAGTTCATGCACATAGCTCACTTCTAACGAGCTAGTTATCTGAATCGGGTGTGTTAACTAAGCAAGACATGCAAAATATGCAGAGCAGGGAGACGCAAGGACTGGAATTGGGAACCGCTGAGCTACATCGTGTGTCATTCACCGGTGAGAAAACTTTAAAAGTATTATAATACCAGGAAGGAAGATCAGGTTGTTGATGTTTGTCTGCCATTCTCCCCTTCTCGGACCGAGCATTTTGATTGGACGAACATTTCTTGGTCCTACGCCTTCCACAGAATATATGACCCTGGACCACAAAACCAGTCTTAAGTCGCTGGGGTATATTTGTAGCAATAGCCAAAAATACATTGTACGGGTCAAAATTATTGATTTTTCTTTTACGCCAAAAATCATTAGGATATTAAGTAAAGATCATGTTCCATGAAGATATTTTGTAAATTTCCTACTGTAAATATATTAAAACTTAATTTTTGATTAGTAATATGCATTGCTAAGAACTTCATTTGGACAACTTTAAAGGCAATTTTCTCAATATTTTTTATTTTTTTGCACCCTCAGATTCCAGATAGTTGTATCTCGGCCAAATATTGTCCCATCCTAACAAACCATACATCAATGGAAAGCTTATTTATGATGTATAAATCAAAATTTTCCCTTATGACTGGTTTTGTGGTCCAGGGTCACATATATAAATACAGATAACTACATTTAGACCACTTAACTTAATGATTGCTATCGGGATGTGAAGAGACTTTCAACCAGCATAACAAAAAATGTTTCTGAAGACAATCACCTATTGCACCTTTAAGTTGCTAAAAACGGCATCATGCAATGTAAACTGTAGATGGCGCCACCATTACACAGCATGTCAGTGCTCAAGATGCTAAGAAATGTCTTAAAACTAGTGCTCACAGGACGTAAAAATTGTAACCAGACTAAGAAGCCCAACACTTCAAACTAAGGCAAAGTGTCTCAAAATCAAAAACTTGAACATTCCCAACCCCTTCCAAGAGAGGAACCCCTGTGCTTTCAGTCAGAAAACATAACTTCACCGATCTCACCCACAGAAGCATGACTGTCCCCAAGCATGACTCATCCCCCTCCCTCTGCCTTTCCACCCTGCTTTTGTTGCTTCTCTTCATCATCACAGACAAACTCTTTGATGCCATTGAGCCTTTTATATTGCCACTTCCTCTGTGATTTCCAGACGCCTTGATTTCTTTGTTGTGTGCTTTTTTTAGCATGACACATAACCGCAAAAGACGAAAAAAAAAATGCCACCAGGGTTAGTCTTCATATACTTTTGAGACAAAAGAAGTTCAGGGAGGCTAAGAAATGGATGTTTAAGACAACACTGTCAAGAACCTCAGAGAGGTCCATTATCCCATTACCAAATCAACCAAAATAAATAAACTAGAAAGCATGACTAATTTTCCAGGGTTCCGCAGCAGTGGTTTGGCATACTCGTCTAGTCTGTTAGCCTGTCATTTGGTTTTGGAATAGATATTAGAGAACTGACAAGGTGAGGAAATACTGATTGTTTGGCCAATGTGCAATACTTTTTTTTCTCCTTTTCTAAAAGAAAAGCTACAAGTTTTTGAACATTTCTGAAGATCATTACCTCGCCATCGATGTATTTCTCAAGGCATATGGCACAGTCTGATGTGGAACTACTGCTCACTGAGTCTGATGCTCCACAGCTGGCTTCATGCTGACTCTTGACCTTAGCCTTGAACTTGCGTGTTTCCATCTTCTCCAGGGCCTGAATGGCCATCCGGTTCATAGAACTCTGACAGGTGGGGAAACAATTATGGACAGAAGAAGAGAAAAACAAGGCATGTCAGGAATGCAACAAATGAAGTTCCAAATGTAGGTTTTGGGAGGAGCAGCAGTAGTGACAAATTCTTATTAACATTTTCACCCCAGCAGCAGCGATTTTGCTCCTCGTTAAACAATTGTTATTCATTTCACTGCCACAGCAGTGATTTTCCCCATCACTCCCGCCGTAGCCCCCAGTGCTCAAAATTTACTCCACTGCCGCAGCAGTGATCTTCTCTCCACTCCCGCAGGAGTCTAGTCTAGATCAAATTCATTAACATTTTCTCTACTTTAACCTCCTTCAAGGACAGCAAGCCAAGTTAATTTACCATTATCTAGCAGGACTGAATGGGCAGGCAAACTCGTGAAACTTTTTAACATTGTACACTGACATAAAACAAGCAAATGAATTCAATAGCATGAAGCAATGAGGTCAACATTTAGACCTCAAATTAAATAGTTACAAATGAATGAAACCCGTATCAAACTGCATTATGGAGCCTCACCTGGCTGCGTCTTTGCTTGAGCTTTATCTTGATGAGGAGGATGAGGCAGACCAGAGACACCACAACGAAGAACGCCAGGAAGATGCCCATGTCAAAATACTCTGTGGGCTGCAATAGTACACAACGGCAGGAAAATGTCAGCACATTTTAAAGATAAGGTGTATGCAGAAAAACCTTGCATACACAAAATAAGATTACAAACTTTGTAAACATGACAAAACCATTGTAAAAAACAAAACTTTCTTTGTGGAACACTTAGATGTCATAACGGAACAGCCAAACACAACCTGCTCGAGAGGGCATACTTTAAAGTAGATTAATTTTAAGATGTAATTTTTTGGAGCGTTTTATACATCTGCAACTCTGTAAAATATTAATTTATATGATACATATATACTGTGTATATATATATATATAAAAATGACAAAAAAAAAATCTATATAAACTTTGTGACCCATCTCTACTAATGTTTTAATGCATCCAATACAAGCATCAACTCTTACCCTTGGCGGTCGATGTTGGATTCTGGCTCGTGCCACTTTTTGCTTATTGACTATGTTCATCAGTTTAACCGCATCGGCTCCTTTGACATAGACCACCGGTCTCTTTAAGGGGTCTTCTGAAACCTGGTTCAGCTAAAGAAAATAATGAGAGAAAAGACAGACCTTGAGAAAAATATTTTAAGCTCTCATGCCAGACCACTTAACAAATAATGATAGTTATTTTGAGCAAAAACTCTCAAAAGCAGCTGCAACAAAACCCATTACAATGCTGCGGCTTTACATCTAAAGATGCACTTGGAAAAATACATGTAATTTTTTTTTTTAAATGAATAACGTTTTCAATCATTATTCAATCTGCCAAATCAACATGAACTCGGTTGCCGGGGAAAAGCTCTCCCGACAACATACACCCATGTGAAAAAGCAACCTATAGAGTCCAGACATGGAAACTGTGGTTGGACCTTTTCCTCCATAGAAAGGGAAAATAGCAGTAAACCAATTGCATGTTGCGAATATGGATGCTCGATTTAGCCTTGTAGCTCCCTCAGACTACAGCTTCAGTCTGTAATTTGAAAAACCTGAGGGAAATACCAGGGATATTCAAGCCTCTATTTCTCCCTCTGTCGTCATGTCTCTCATGTGAAATATGGGAAGTTGAAAGATAGTCATTTAAGTGTTCTTCCCCCTCTCTCATTTTTCGGGTCTGTTGGATTTTCATTCAAGAAAAGACGCACAGACTCAGGGAAAGCCTCACGTTTCAAACCAGGCATTCTCTAGGTTTATGCATTACAGTATGATAGAAATGTTACAATTACGACAGAAGCAAAATCTGTCGCCATGATGCTAGGGTGTTTCTGAGGTAGACGTTAGCTACTAGATATGCTGGTTGATGGCTGTTGGTTACTGGCCCACCCTCAAGTTTTTAAAAAGGGACCCTACATATATCTAAAGGGTCAGAAAATGAAATGCTATAAGAGTCTATGGGATTTTTCACCCATTTAATCATCCACAAGGCAAAAACCAGATCACTTAAAAAAAGTATAAGCATACATTTTTCATTAACCTGCACTATATGAGATATCACAGATGTATTTGGTAATGTACGTCTGCTTACTGGGGGAGAAAAGAGAGAGAGAGAAAATGAATATGGACAGAACTAGGTTAGGATCGGGGGTAGGGAACTAGAGTAGGATCTAGCAGGTGATGATGAAAGCTTTTCCCTTAATTCTCTGAACCCCGTGATTAAAACTCTCCTCGTCCTCCCCAAAGCCTTGAGGCTTTAAACCGTAATCTGTGCGACAGGGGAAGCCGAATGAGTCTGGACAGAGGTGCTGGCATTGGAATGTACTGCGCTGACTCCTTTCATGTGGTCTACACAGAAGCTCTTATCTCGTCTGTACACCGTTTACAACAGAACGAGGGAGAGGGGGGAAAAGCAAGTCTGGGCCTGGTTTGGAAGAGAAAAATACCACAGTGAAAGAGTGGGGAGTGGAAAAAAAAGACCCTTGCTCTGTCAAAAGCAGTGACAAAGAAAAGGACTTCCGCAGATCAGCCTTTTCCACAGACAGTGGTGAGAATAGGTGCTGCACCACGGTAGTGACCCCTTTAAGTAAATGGAAATAAAGTGGTAGTGGACAACACAGTTCATTCAGTTCCTACTGAAAATCTTTAACTACATTAGTGTTTCTTAAAAAATACCAGTACAATAGTATGTTGTGCTTAGGTTCAGAATCCACTTTTTTTGTTTGTATTTTACCATTTCTTAAAGTTCAGCAATTTAACTAGAATTTGCTTAGATTTAAGCATGTCACGACAAAAGTACATTTCTTCAAGTTTTTGAAAGAATTCCCTTATGCTCACCAAAGCTACATATATTTGATTTAATATATTCTATTTAATATATTTAAAAAAAAATTATTTACGACAAGCCATTACTTCATTTTAAAATGCTGATTTGGTGCTCAAAAACATTTCTGATTATTATTATCAATGTTGAAAACAGTTGAGCTGCTTAATGTTTTTCTGGAAATGTGACATTTTTTTTTTCCAGGATTCTTTGATGAATAGAAAGTTCAAAAGAACAGCATTTATTTGAAATTGAAATCTTTTTAACATTATAAAATGTCTTTGCTGTCACTTATAATCAATGAAATGCATCCTTTCTGAATAAAAAGATGATAAAAAAATAAAATAAAATAAAAACTTACTGTCCACAACCTTTCGAATGGTAGTGTTATTTATTTTTACTATAAACAAAACCAAAACAAAAAAACATTGTTATTGTAGTTAAACCACAGTAACCACACATTTCCAATGGTTTGGCTAAACCAGCCATAGTTTAACCATGGTATTTGTAGTAAAACGGTGGTTATAGATACAGATACTATGGTTACTATAGTTTTACTATAATAAAAGCATGGTTCATTTTCATAAGGGGATATAACCACCAACTGAACACATTAACAAACCATCTACAAAAGCTTGGTTGGTTGGTACTGAATTAAATGAAAAGTTGCATTACACATTCATCTATAGTAATTGATCAAATGCGTTTTTCAAGGTGTTACCCTACACTGTAAAAAAATTCCATAAAAATTTACGGTAAAAAAACGGCAGCTGTGATTGCCGGAATTTTACCGTAAAAAATACGGTAGCAACGTTTTAGGTTTTAACTAGTTAAATACCGTAATTTCATTAACTGATATAATGTTAATATACCAACCTATTGAGGTATTGAAATCTGTTTTGTACCTTTGTAATACACTGATAACCACCAAATGCAAGTGGTGATGAGAAAGTCACATGATGAACCAAAGCCCATCACAAGCAGCTTTTAGATAATAACATGTATAGAAGGTGCACAGTGTCATTCACACAAACACCAAACGCCATCATGGTAACACACATGAAACTGAAATAATGCAATAACCATTCATTTAACAACATTAGGTGTAACACACAACCCTTATATACAAAACTGATAAGAAAAAACTAAGAAACAAACAACAAAAAAACATCAAATTTGAAATGTAACTCAGGGAATTCTGGGAATGTCAATTTACAGTTATTCACTGTAAATTATACGGTATTTTTCACTTTCAAAAACGGTATACTACCGTAAAATTTATGTCCAATACATGTAATGTCCAATACTGTTTTTCACGGTATACAGTAGGGGAATTTACCGTTAACCATTTAACAGGTTTTTACTGTAGCATTTTTACAGTCTTTTACCATTAAATTCAGTCATTTTTTACAGTGTAGAAAATGCTAATATCAAAAATGGATGTATTGCTGATAAAGATCAAATTAGGTTGAAGCTGTCATGACGTGCAACACATCACTGATGTTACACTCACTTGGTCGATGGCATCTGTATTTTCCGAGACGTCAAAGATAACCGCTGTGGCCCCTCTCTGAACGGCTCTCTTCGCCTGTGAGGATGACAAACAGAAAAAGGTTGTTCAACAGTATGCTTCCACATCAACGTTTTTCTTAATTAAAAAAGATCTGTATTAAATTAAAAACGATTTAAAGACACACACTTTTTCATAAGTAAATATTCCAATACCATGTTAAACATTCGACCCGTTTCATTCCCAACCAATAGAGGTCGCTCTTACACCTCAGCTAGATGGCTCTCGAGTCAGTGTGCAGAACAAGTAAACATTGTGATGGCTAAAGTGGCTTTCTGTTCATAACTACAGTTCAAAGCTTTGATCAATGTGTTCAGTTATGCTATCATTGCCTTATTTGTTCACTATTTTATTGCCATCTTGATGTTCATTGTTTTATTATTTTAATAGATGATTGACATCACATAGCCAGACTTGCATTTTGTTTACACACTGACGGCTGGGTATGTTCCAACTCCACTCATGCGAAAGCAAAAAGAACAGGCTGATACAAAAAAAGCAAAATAAAGAGATCAAAGTGACAATGTGCAGTTCTATAACTCTGTTATCAGAGTAGCAAAGGGATGGCACCGCTCCAAGCCCAAGGCATTCTGGGTACTATGAGAGAAAGCATGACCTCTCCACACACTGCCTGTGTGCTTATGCATGTCTATTAATGTGTGTGTGTGTGTGTGTGTGTGTGTGTGTGGTAGAGACATTGCCAGTGACTGTTCAACAAACAATACATGTACCCGCAGACGCCATTACACACTGTTCATTTATGTCAAAGTAATTTATCTCAAGCTAAGGCTCATGTAAAAGGCCTTAATGAGAAAGTTGGTTTAGGTTGGGATTTAGTAGCTTTAAAGTGAAAATTATAGAGTGTATGATTGTCTGAGGGTATATATATACATAGATCATTACTCACTATTTGTATTTCTGTTTTATAAGTTTAACGCAGCAAAATCTAACTACACGCTGTACACGCTGACTGGGAAGTTGACATATTAACCAAGTCGTTTTGTTTTTTGATGTGCACCACACTATGATGGGTCTGGTGATGTGGTAAACTGATCTTGCTAAATAGTAACTTAGAAGTCCAAATCAAATAAAACACTGGAACATTGTTAAAAATGTTGACGCCAACATTCATTATCAAATCATACATGTTTTTTCAACACGAGGCTCAATGAATCCCACAAGAAAATCACAGTGAAACCGATTCCCATTCTGACTTCTGTTAAAGCTTGAGCGAGAAGAACAAAAACAACCCAGAGAAAACTCATGGGACTGCAATAATGTGGCACAAAGGCGCTGGGTGAGAGGCTATGCAGGCAATATTACCAAATTCAAATAGAAAATGAACAAAGCAAACATTTCGAACCCCTTCTCCACCTTTCTCAACATAATATTGGATAAAGCAAGCCATTTTAGGTGAGCTAAAAAAATAATAAGATTAATAAAATGGAAAAAATGAAGTTAAATAAAATAAATAATGGGAGGAAAAGGCATTATAAAAGATAAAGCAACACAATATTCGTATATACATTTTTGCCATATTTGTATTATGCCCCAAGACATACTTTACAGTCTTTGATGAGATCTGTAATTTTAATTTTAAAGTGAATATGCTCAGTAAACATCAGAATGAGGAAGACATGAGAGAATCCAATGGGATTCATGAGGGAACACCTCAAGAGATGAAAACGAAGTGGAAGCTAATGACTGTTTATGTCTTGTCAACTTTTAAATTCATACTAACGTTCAGCTAATTGACAGGAATGTAGAAACAGACTGAACTCTTGCGCTCTACCTTGTTTGCTTCACATCAATGTGCTTCAGCTGTGTTTCGGCTCTTTTGAAGATGGCAATTTCAGTTAATTATTAATAGTGCTGAATAAAAGAGCTGTAGGAGGAAAATGAGGGTTTGGAGAGAGGGGTGGCTGGCTGAAAGAACGAGAGAGAGAGAGAGAGAGAGAGAGAGAGAGAGCACATGTGGAACAGGCCAGAAGAAAGACATTTCTCATTTTCATTTAATTGAACTTGATATACTATCGCTCAACAACGATACAACGATAACTAATAAAAATGACAAAATTCCTAAAACTTTAACATTAAAACGAAAACAAAACAAAAATAAAAAAATTATTCAAAATATAAAATGCTGTAATATAATATAATAATATGTTTCTCAGTGATCTCAGTATCTATATAATAGCATCACAGTGACTGAAGTAACACTGTTAAGGTGGCTACTATTTAAAAATCTTTTTAAATATGCATTTATCTGATAATATCATTTATAATTTGATAACCACAGTCATAGTTTTCTCGTGCATTGAAAAGTGCTTTGAATGAAAGGCATCTTTCCCACCACATTTGACTTATGCATTTCCATGACTGTTCTGGTCATTAAAAATCATTTATAGCAACTGCACTCATAAAGAGCAATTTCTAGTCAATGAAATCTTCTTGAGCCGAGCATTAACCAGAAAAAAGAAAAATTTACACGAGTCTTCCAGATCTCGAAAGCACAATTTAAAAATTTCCAGATGTTGAAAAAAAAAAAAAACTGTGACATTCATTCACACAGAGACATGCAGACTTCATATTTGAATACAAGATTGTATGTTTCATTTATTCATCCAAAATTCAAAGTAATAACGTGAATTCCATTTTTATGACTGTATTCCGTGATTCTGTCTGCATTTTCTGCATTATGGGAATCATAGTGCCCTAAGGTACTGTTACTCTTCCTTTATAGTAAAAATAAATGTGCTATTGCATGCAACATACAGTTGAAGTTGCAATGAATGTACAATTGCTAGAAAGCACTACATCAACTTGTGCAAAAGTGACTGTGATGTCCAGCTGGTCAAAAATCAATTTATAGACCCTTAAAGCATTCAAGCAATCCTTTTGTAATTTTTCCTCTTGATTTCTCCTCCTCATCCCTTTTTATATTTCAGCAATCCTACACACTCACTCACTCTCTGCATTGCTATAATTAAAGCAATTAAGTCCTCAGAATTTAAAGCTCTGCCATTATGCTGTAATTTCAGGTTGCCTTCTGGCCTTTGGGTTTCCTCAAAGATAAAGGCATACTTTCCTCATTTAGAGTTTACTTGGTGGTCACCCTTTATTTTATCTGTAAGTGCCAAGACATTATTTAGGTAAGTCTTAGCTTCTTGCAAGGGGAAAAAAATGGAAATAGCAAAAAGGAGAAAATAAAATAGGCATCCAAGTCAGAGAAGTACAAAACTGTGCCTGCTCAGTTTCTCACAGTCTCTTCACTACTGGGTTCATCTGGGCTACAATTCACATGAAAATCCAAACAACACACTTAGCTTAAGTTTACACTGAGGTCATTACTAGAACCACACCACTAAACAGACACAGGCTAGAGCTGCCCTTTTGCTTTCATTTTTTAGGTTACCTTTCTGCTGTTGACTTGTGTCAGTGTGCAGGTGTAAGTAGTTTTAAATTGTAACACACTGTACTCATGGTTGTTGTAAAATGCAGCCATCACTGCTTAATGGACTGTTTTGTCCATAATACAAGTATTAAACCATAAGGGTAAGTGTGTGTTCTAGTTAATGGTTCCAGCTTGTTGACAACTAGTTTTGTGTGGCACGTTTGCACAGCTTCTAAGAAATATGATTTGGTGCATTATGGATAGTGTGCTAAACTCCTCACCACAGTATCACATGGATATAAGGAAATAGTGTGTATATATATATATATATATATATATATATATATATATACACACTATTTCCTTATATCCATGTGATACTGTGGTGAGGAGTTTAGCACACTATCCATAATGCACCAAATCATATTTCTTAGAAGCTGTGCAAACGTGCCACACAAAACTAGTTGTCAACAAGCTGGAACCATTAACTAGAACACACACTTACCCTTATGGTTTAATACTTGTATTATGGACAAAACAGTCCATTAAGCAGTGATGGCTGCATTTTACAACAACCATGAGTACAGTGTGTTACAATTTAAAACTATTTTTATGGGTGAAAAATGTTTATGAAGCTTGTAAAAGTCATGTAGTCACACAAATCACAGCATAAACCTAGTGCTAAATGAAACTTCCTTTCTCTCAGCAACTCTGCCTGGAAGTACATATAAAATTGTTCGGGAGAAACAAAAGAAATTTAGATAGAAAAATAACTGTATTGAGTTTTTAATTAGTTTTAATAGTTAGATTCCCCCTTTATTTATTTACATTTATGCATTTGGCAGACACATAGAAAAACACTGATTTGCTGATTTATCTTTAAGGTGTGCATATAAGGAATAAAATGTACGTACACCCAAAAATCCTTCATTCACAAGCACCCTTGGTGATCACTGACAAAGTCTAAATTGATCTTTTGGCTAACTGCTGAATTTCCTGAATTCTCTGCTACTTAACGATTTAAACTGCTCATTTAATGGTGTCACTTTCAGTTGTTCAGAGTTCATGTAGGAGCAGTAAACTAGCTTTTACATGACTGAACAGATGGACACCTCTGAGACTAAAGTCACTAAAGTTTGATCTAAAGCTTGCGTTTACATTGCTAGAAGCGTTCTCTTGAAAGATGAGAAGTGAAAGAGTCTTAACATGTCATCACACTGTCAGTGGTTATTTACAGAAAAACAGGTCTTGATTTTGGCCCGGTCCATGGACGCAGCGGCCTAACTGAGATGCCAGTCTCACTGGAGGCCCCTGTTAAGTAGTGCAGAACTAATATAGGATAATTTCAGAGAAGGCACCAGAAGAGCATGGACTACAGGTCAGTGTCTTGTTCTGACCTGTTCTGAGACCAGTTTGAGAACAGTTTAAAGGATTGAAAAGTTAAGGCTATGTTCAGGTATAGACTGGACTAAATAACCTCATAATGACATAATGCTTTTTTACAGCTAATTAACAATGTTTTATGAAGCTGTTTCACAGAGGGAAAATTCACCTGTTAATTAGCCAACTTTAGGGGTGTGCGGTTTATAAAACACACACACACAGGTGAATAAAGCTGCCATTC